AGTAGAATTGCTGTGTGGAGTAGAATTGCTGTGTGGAGTAGAAACAACGTTATTGAAAGTGATCAATGTGAGAGAGATTGAGGTTAGGTTGAGTGTGGTATGTTGTAAATAGTGAAAGTAGTGGTAATGCATGTGGAGCGACAGTAACTTCATGAGGAGACCTTTATAGAAAGGTGATTGTAAAATATGTGTTAAAGTGTTTTGAAGAAGGGTTGTAAAAAAAGCAAGCTGTTGACCTCCTTAAGACCAGCCTTGCTGATCCACAGTTACATTTACAATAACAAATTACCTAACAGTGAACATTTGGTAAGTTTGTATTAAAAATGAATATTCATTGTTTTGTTTCAGTGTGGATGAAATGATTGCAAAATCTAGTAAAGATTGTGACTTCTGCAATTTTAGAAAGTTAGTACCCTAAAAAAATGTCATATTAATTTATATCTTTTATCTTTTTACCAATATATCATTGTGTTTTTTTTTTAAAAGTATGACAGCGAAAGATCCATTCGGAAGTATAGAATCTAAGTATGCTGTTTCAGGTCAGTAGGAAAACCTTTTTTTGTCAATATAATAATAATGATAATAATTTAAAATTTCTATAGCATTAGTATCCGCTAGTACAATGATACTTTACAGTTTTTTTGAATAAGAACATTCAACTTTGTTTTTAAGATTTAAAAAAAAATTGTATTGTTTTAAATCTCTCCTTTTCTTCTTTCGTTTGATTTTCCCTCTTCACCTTACCTCTCTTTCTCCACCATAATAATCTCATAATGGGTTGATAAAACATGCACAGCTATAGCACAGCAAACCATGTAGTGTAGCTCCATGAGACATGAGGGAGAGTTATGATAAAATTAGTGTCCCTACCCTCCCCACCCCTTGCAAGCTCTAGTATGGTGCAGTTCAAATATTTTAAGCTGGAAGGTCTGTTCATTTTGATTGAATATTTTGCAAGGTGTGCATCAAGTAGTCTCCCTTGCAGCTGTTTTAGTCTCATTCCATTCCCCTACGGTCCACTAAGTGGACCATAGAGGAATGGGACAAGACTAAAATGACTGTGAGGGAGACTATGTAACAAGCTGCTCTTGAAAATAACTGTGATAAATTTGCATTTCTTTAATTCTTATTTTTAAGATAAAGATTTTAAAGTAAAGCAAACAATAATTAAAGTTTATGCTCATAAAAACCTAAAATACTTCCATGCTGATTGTAATGTTTTATTTTAGTTTCAAACACTTTCAAGATAGAGAAATTTCATGGCCTAATATTATGGAAGCATCACAATCCAATGGAATTCAATGAAGAACAGGTAAGACTACCAAACACCATCAGAAACATCATAATATTTTCTTTGGGCTGCCTGTGGAGCCAGCTCCACAGGAATCCCAATAAATGCCTAGCTACATTTGTCTGCCTAGAGTCTAGACTAGAATTTGTTCACGTAACTCTGCAGAAAAAGGATAAGTGTTTTTGATATATTCTTAAACTATAATATTGAAGTGTTTCGGCTATTCCACAAGAATGAAATAGTTTGTTTTAGTTTTTGCCATGTAAAACATGACCACTCTCCACACACAAAAATCTATTACTTGAGTCAGGAGCCTGGGAGATTGAGCAACTACTCCTTAAGTCTTATCAATGTATTGTTCAATACCTAACTTAATAATTTATAATTAAAAATTTAATATCACATTAATACTTAAAAGTTATCCATAGTCTTCCTCCCTTCCAAATTTTCGTGACACAACATTGTCATATTCGTTAATTCTATTTGGTTTTTAAAACAAACCATTTGGGTTTACGGATCCAAACTTGTCGTTGTTTGATTAGTTAATCTTGGACATGATACAGGACAGAGTCCTGATTGACATACGTGGTTACCTAGGCAACATGCATTTATCGTTGCCTAGGTAACCTGATGATGTATCTAAGCAACGAGTATCATGTACTAGTCACGGGAAAACTGTGTCAGATAAGGTCTGGATGGTCTCCTAGGTAACGTGATTAAACGTGTTATGGGATGCGGAACCAAAACAGACTACTGACATCTTACTAAACATCAACTCAAGTGACATATAGGTTGGTAACTCAAGGCTTCAATCTTTTCGTAGCAAACGTCTTAGTTTTTTAAATGGAATTGTCACTTTTCTTGGCTTAATGAGTAACAGATATATAACTTCCCTTTGAAATATAAATATGCGTTAAATTTGTTATTACGTGCACCAAGTCCACGTAAGGAAGCTATATTTTGGTGCCAAACACTTTTAGGACGTAATCTTATTTAATCCTTGAATACGTAGTTGATATCGCCTTAACCCAAGGCCAATAATCCGTTGTTTAAGTATATTGGTGCTATACCTGGGATGACGGAAAATACATGCTGATTTATGTAGAACGTGCGTCATTGAGCGGGGTTAGGAAAAGGGAGCTTGGATGTTTAATGATCCGTGTACATCTAACGTTTAGACAAGATGGCTTCAATGTCAGCTTGGTCAGTAGACCTCATGTCGAGAAAACGTCACTCAGAGCCAAGGAAGAAGTCTCAGGAATCTCTACTTCATCATTTATCGTGCTGGATATTCCTTAATATTATTTTTGCGCGCTTTTGATACGTGACGCGCGCACCGTTTCGTGTGTTGAGGACGAGCGCGCGCGTCACCCGCAAGTAAGTGCGCAAAGTGTGGCTTTGCGAGGTCAGCTCGTCATTTTAATCTTGATGTAGTGCTAACTAACTTTTATTTTACTTCGATAACACCGAGCTTTATGAATAATTTCATTCTATAAAATACTCACTAGTGGTTTTTCACACGTCGTCGTTCAGACATGCGTATTCCTTTGCTCAACGTTTTAGAATTGCTATCGTGATTTTTTTGCACACATCACTGTTTTTTAAGATTTTAAGCTAACAGTAAATGGTTGCGCAATTGTTATACTATACTGTCTTGTTCTTTTATATATCTCTCTCTTTTTCTTATTAAGACAAACCCGCGTATTACGCATTCATTCTCGTGTTTTATTGCAGTGAAATTGAAATCGGAGAATCAAATTGTTCTTGGTAACAAAATATATTCAGATATTTTTGGTTTTCATTTATTTTCGAGACGAAAAACTACTTAGTAATTGTATAATCTAAAATCTTATCTTGTGGTTTTGTTATTTCTTCTTTTTATCTTGGTGTTACTGTTTTTGACTTATCTTATCCGATTCCGTCTTTCTGAGATGAGAACCTTTCTCGGTATCAGATGCTAACATACCCCGTTGAAAAACTCAAAACATCTGATTCTCTTTGAACCAAAGAATGTTATCTTTACATTCGTGGAAAATTGTTATCACAAAAACAGTCGGGTAAAAAACTTGTTATCGCTATTTACCACTGCAAACACAGCATTGGCGCAGCTCATCGGGGTCGAACTGAAAGCCGCCTCTGGCAGCCGCTAGAAAATGTTATTTTTTGTCATTTATCGGTAAGTTCGATTTCCGCATTTTTACGTCTCGCTTTTCAATATTGTTTTTAGTTCCTCTTTTTTGTTGGTGGGATGGATAATTAGTCTTGAAGATTCGAAGGTAGCGAAGCTGTTTCTACCCTCGCTCGACTAAACTAAACTTAGAAAAACTGATAACTAAATTTGAAAGTCGAAAAGACTTCACTCTATATAAATGGTATTTATTCATATGTCTCACGATTGAGGCAGTTTCAACCTGCTAGTCTTCATCAGGCGACGGAGTAGACTGAATGTCTTTTATATAGCACTCGTCGGATCATTGGTTTATGCTGGCATTGACTGTTTGATTGTTTCGTCTCTGTCCTGGGATTTTTACTCACTCTTTTCACAAAGGCGCAGTTGTAGTGAAAAACTGAAAAGATAAAAAAAGGGGAAATAAAATGTAACAGGAATAGTGCCCACTTAAGAGGAGGATAAATTTTTCGAGGACTGAGATTTGCAGTATGTTATTGACCTATACATTTGGGGGGGGGGGGGGGGGGGGGGGGTGGGGGCTTGTTGTTTTTTCTGAACCCCAGGAACAACCATACATAGTGATAGGTCATTTGCGTATGTGGTTTGGATGGTGACGTGTGTAGACGTGAACCTCCCGCAGCGCTAGTCCCATACCGTCCGGTTAATAAAAGTTGTTGGTTAAATATTAGGTGTTAGTAGAAACCAAGGTGTCTGGTTTCATACGCCAAGTTGTGGGCACAGGTGATTCGAAACGGGATCTCGCTTCAGTTTAAATAATTTTTCTTTAAATGAATATCGTGATTTAATACTGAGAATCAAGTCAAATAATATAATACCTTTACAGATAAAGGCCAAAGCATGTTTGATTATAGTTTATGTCCAAAATTCTCTAATTAATCACAAAAATAAAATGGAAAAGATAAACCGCGTTTTTAATAAATTCAAATAATTATTTTCTTGTGTCGGGTTAATTTTCTGTGATTTCTAGATTAGGATTCTATTTTATCTTTTACCGGTAACGTTAAAGAGCGCCAAGGAGTCTTCTGATAAATTATCCAGAGACCTGTGTCTTTTTTACCATGGCTAAATACGATATCCCTGTTAATTAGCGATATAGGTTTTTCTCGTACTACGCAAAACAGGGTTCAAAGCGACACCAATCTCCTCGTTGTCACTTAAGATCCGGCTAATAATGCGTGGAAGTGATCGATACCCGACGGATTGGGCATACGTATAGTTAGTAACGCTAATAGCCTGACAATGATTGACGATATTTAACATGATATTAGCAAGGGAAATGTCCGGCACGGTTTATAGGGATATCAGACAGGTTGATAGATAAAGGTTTCTTTTCTTCATAAAATGGTATAGTATCAAGCATGAGTCATATTTAATATATTTGATATTTTACAGTAATCACTCTCCGTAATGGGCACTTCTGTAATGTTTGCTCTACACGCACTACCACTTTGTATTCACTATTTACACATTCACACAACACCCATCACTTGCATGTTGATTTTTATGGAGAGAGAAAATCTGGAGAACCCAGAAAAAACCCTGGCGGGTAGGACAGAACGATACGTCAAACATTTTTGACTCACATCAAATGCGAGACATCCAAAGGAAATCCCTGAAGGATTTAAATTAATGGAGTTTGCTTAGGAACTGCTACCTATTGATTAGTAAAAGCCGTTCTATTATTTCTGACTGCCAGCCAAAAACGCAAGCATGATAGCCATATATGTAGGTAAAGATGGAATATTTTTTTAAGGAAAGGTGAAGCAGCGGAAGGGCTTCGCATGCCAAAGTTATCATTCGCGTAAAGACTGAATAATTATGACTAGCTTTTAAAAAGGTTATTAGTAATAAATTCATGAGGAATTTTTCATGCAACTTTTTATTTCCCACAAAGTTTGACCTAACCCCTTTCGTGTCGATTTTTTGGCGCGCGCTTCAGTATAGCGTAACTTTTTGTCCATTTGGCTTTTCGATACGAGGTGTTTTAGGATGGGAGACTAGAGAAAAAGGGAATTTTCATATGTTGATATGTTGGAGCCCATCCAATAGTAAAGAATCCGGAATTACCACAGGAAGTCCCCCCAGACCAGGAAACCAAAGGCATTGATTCAGAGATGTATTTATTTTTTGATTTCCTGATTAGTTCTAGCATATGAATCTACAACGATGTGAACCCAAATTCTGATTTCAATTCTGCGTTTTCCAAATTTCAAGGAGTCCCAAAATCAGATTAAGTCGACTGTTAGAATATAATTATTTCAGTCTTACAAATTGTTGTGAGCTTCATTCTTTTACAATTTCTCGATAACCATCGACAAGAAAGAGACGCCAGTCGACATTTATAGATAAAAGATATGCCTGCATAAAACGTATAAAACTAATGCTTTAGTAAATACCACATATTTTTAACTTAATGTCTTAAGTAGGAAAACAACTTTTTATCAATAACGTAAAAAGGCAAAAAAGGCGAAATATCGTGGCACTAAAATGGCTTCCGCTTCCGTCTTTTAATTGGTTCAGAGTGGAAGCCATTTGAATGTCAGAGTAAAAACTTCTCAAAAGAATAAAATGTTTTTCCTTCGAATTCTTTTGTAGCTTTAAGTGACCATTAACTTATTACAATTGAATAGCGACTATTAACATTATTTTGCAAAAATAGAGCTCTGTATATAATAGTAATTACTAGGCTGTCCGAGGAATTAAACCGTTATACATTAGTAACTACTCACTTTTTATATCTGTTAATCGTAATAAAAAAGAAGGGGGACAAAGTAGTGAATAAATGAAAGTGAAATTGAAAGAAAGAAAATGAATGAAACGACAAAGAAAGCCGACTCAATAATTGATTTAAAGAAAAACAAACAAACGAACAAACAAACAACAAACTAAAAAATATTAGGAAAGACTGCTTATTGAGGTCTGCTTCAAAATGGAATAATTGGATAGATGGACGGATGGACGAGAACAAATGAATTAATGCATGAACGACTGCATGAATGAATCAATGATTGAGAACGAATAAAAACGAATAAATTCATGAGCGAATTAATTAAGCAGAATCAATAAAAGAAATCCGAAACCAGAAAGAGGTTGAAAGTGTATAGTTCTAATTGCAATGGATGAAAAAAACGATCGGAAAGTCTTCGTACACTTCGAATTTACCATTCTAATCGACAGGTATCGAATGCCCAGACCCCCATGACCCTTTCATATAGTGGCTCTCTTCCATACCTCGTGTTATCATATTCAGCTATAATCTTCGAATACACATCATTCTAATCAACACGACATCAAATGCCCAGAGACCCACGACCCTAAACTAATAAGCTACTTTCCATATCGCGTGCTATCATATCACGCCTTTATGCTGTAAGTAAATCATCAAAGGTCTTTTATCAAGTCTGTGTATATTATCTGTTTACCCGTTAARAAAGGAATACCACACCTAAGCTAGGATGTTTTCTTCCTGGCTCCAGCATTATTTGAAGTTAAGAATAAAAAAAAACCAGACTATCTTACTTCCTCAATAATGTCGAGCTTTTTTACCGTAAGCAAGCTTAACTTGGTTCACATCCGTTTAATCTTCGCTATATATATAAATTCCCTAAAGGTTTTGTATTGTCTTTTTTGCGGTCCGCTCTTTCTTATTTCCCAAAAACTGTTATACTAATAAGTATTTTTCTCGGTACAAGGTCTAGCGTTGAGGTCATTTATGGCTGACAGAAATCAGAATTGATTTTGTAAGTTTAACCTCTATCAGTCATTGTGCATTTGTCGATTAAGTTTGGAGTATAAATGACCCCCTAAGTAATGTTTTATTCTCCCATCAAGCTGTCAACCTGGTAAGCCAAAATGGAATAATGGTGACCGTTTGACTTGTCTTTTACTCGAGATTCCTAATACAAAGGATTTTATAGATGGACATTGCTTTAATGATGCGACAAATACAATTTGCGTGTGTGCCATTCACTTAAAGGCTAACTGAGACAATCGTGGTCAATAAAACCCGGCGGTGAATTAGGCTGTTTGGTTAACCAGTACGCTGTAAACGGCTGTTGAATGGCTTTATCCAAACCCACATTGAAGGGATAAATGGGTATTATAGTCAGTGAATAAAACGTGTCCTTGTACAGAGCAGTTTAATGGTTTTTAATCCAAAGTAATTACCTTCATGCTTTAGAATTTACGAACAAAAAAGGCATGGAGAGGGTAAAGCACTTACATGGCTTTCCACAATGCGTTGGAATTTACATTATTACATCCATTAAGCGGGTAAAACATTTTAATGGGTTTCCACACTTCAAAGCCACTGTGAGCTTTGCTGATTTAACTTGCTTTTCTCCATTTTGATCCAAAAGTTAACTTATATATTGTGAACGTGCATTTGTGGGCAAGGATTTTTTTCTCTTTTGTTTTGTTGTTGTTCTCTTTGAAAGCGAGATAGAAATCCTCTGCCCGTGCGGTGCACTTAAATGGTTTTCTAATCATTTCTTGGAGTGTTATTGTTTTTTAAACCCTCAGGAGATAATAGTACATTCCAGTTCGTATGACTCAAATCGATCAAACTTTTCCCTAATGTTCAGTAAATAATCGTTTTAAGATACATGTTTTTCCATTAAAGCATCTCTTAAACCGTCTTGTATTACAGAAAAATAGCGGAATAAAATAGTACATTTTTTATGCCCAACACTTAACATGTCATTTTGGGCGGGTAATACCCCGCTAATGCCCTTGAAATTTTGTCTTTGACAAGAATGTTTAATGTAATTTGTTGTGATGGTTAATGCAACAATAAAGCACGAACTCACAAACTGATAATGTCTTAAGGAAAACCGTATAGAACTAACTAACGATAATAATACACTTTTCGTTCTTACCATTTGGACGCCAGTCAAAGTATAACAAGCTAAACTCCAATTTAATCTGCTGTGAGTTAGCTGTGTCCTGACTTGATCAGCCCAGAGGCTGTTTCACAGTTTGATAAAATTGAAGTTTTTTAAAGGTCTCTCGGTGATCAAAGCTGGCTCTAAATGGTTATCATTTTATTTTATTTTCCGGAGAGCAACCTTAATCGATGTTTCCTATTAGGACTATTAGCATCTACTCTTTAGGTTGTCGTGTACATGTTTACAGGTTCGTTCATAGTATAAAATAAAACTGATCAGTCAGTACAAAAAGCGCGATTGCGACACACGTTGCATGGAGCATTGCAGCGTGTAACCTACAGCAAAAAACATTTGAAAAATGTTGCGAGACAAGTTGCAGCAATCGTTGTGAAAAGTAGAATTTGCTCAGTTCTACTTTTGGCAACCGTTGAGTCTTCGTTGCATCGTGTAAACACTAGCTCTTGCAACTTGTGTCCTTGCGAGACGAGTTGCAGAGAATCGCGCCTTAAGAGTTTTTTCAGTGAATAGACATGAAGACTATTAGTTTATCGTTATTAAAAATTGATTATTATTTCGTTTGGAAGAAATATATATTGGATGCAGAAGTTGATGAATGAAGACTCTGAAAATACTGAGCTGGTGCATTTTGCAAATAAGCTTTATTACTTTTTTAGTATGAAGTCCTTTAGCCGTTCCAACCTGCCAATACCCAACAAGGGAATCCACATTTAAATTGTTAACACTTTTAACGGAAAATATAGTGAATTTGTGTTCGGTATAATTGTTAATGATATCCAAATCATTCTAATCCTCTTTTTCTAATATCTTTTCTTTTTGTTGGCGAGTTGGTTTGAGAAACAAATTTAGAATTCCATATCTTTCTAACAGCTCTTTTTTTTTTTATTGTTTTGGACCTTTTTCATAAGCATTTTGAATTTCACCCTAGACGCTAATTACTAAAAAAAATTGAATTCCTAGCTTAAACTTTGTGTGTCAAAAATTGTGAAAAAGTTTGCTCAAATTCAATAAAAATTTGGTTTTTCATAAGCATTTTGAATTTAACCCAAAAACACTAATTACTAAAAAAAGGTTGAATAAGTTCGCTAAAATTCAATAAAAATTTGGGTGAACGTTTGAGCTTGTCGAAGTGAAATATCGTAACTTTTAGTAGCGGAAATTTGACTGAATGAAGCGAGTAGGATATCGACGTGAAAATATCTATAGGTAAAGGTGTCGTGCTAAGATATAAGACATCAGTTTTGAGTTCTCTGTTACTCAGCTTTAGCCTCGATTCTGTGTCGCGGAATGTTCCCGTGTTCCAGTGAAAGGCCATAGAATTTCACTTCGAAGGACCTTGATTTGTGCGTCTGGTGTTAGTATATATTTTGAGGCTGAAATGAAGCTAACATGAGGAATTAGGGCCTGTATTCAAGGAACACAAGCTTTCTACTTGTATAATGAGTGGTCGTAGCTGCGCCGCGATGCCGGCCTCAAACTGAGTTGGTACTTTTTATCAAACATCTCTCAGCCTTGAATCAATAAAATCTTTATTACCGCACGTCTTTATTATATAGTCTTAGTAATTTTGTTTATCCTTTCCTCATTATAACCCAAAAGTACTATCTTCTGCCTCGCCTACGAATGAAATTAATAATAACCTCTGGAAAATATTTGTACAATTGGAACCGCGATTTTATATTTGATGATTACCTGTGGTATTGTGCTTTACAATAGTTTGGCTTATACTAATGAGCTAGATTTGCGCTCCTTCGTCGATGGATGCTTGACAGTTTTAAACCCATTTTAAAATTGTTTTCAACTAATGAGTTCTATCCTGTCACTTCGCTAAAAACCAGCGTTAATTCCGTGATTCTTACGAAGTTTTTCTTGACAACTGACTAAGATATTTGGATATAACCATTTTTTACGATATAGTTATACTTTTTTTTCTAATCAATAGAAGTAAACCAGTGAAATTAAAAGTGTTATGGGAATTTCACTGAAGCAGTTTGAAATGTTATGTCGGATTCTGTAGGTTTTTTAGTTTCCTGTTTGACGTTTTTTTGACAATATTACTAAATTCTATCTGATCATGATTTTTTTTACCCGACATAACTGTCTCACACTTGATTTTAATCATGCTAGCGACATTTAGATAGAATTCTCATTAGATTCTTATATACAGATATGTATATTTTAAGTATGTTTAACATGGGTGGGGCTATTGTTATTTTTTCCTTGTCGTCGTCATTTGAATCCTAGCTTCAGTACGTAGTTAGCACAGCGTTCTTGTTGAGTTTCTTTCGTCAAGGTTCATATCTTAGTCGACCCAGATTGCACACTAGAGTCAGTATTTTACTATCTTATCACCTTAAGTTACGCTTGCCTTGTATTGGACGTTTTTAGTCCGCCTCTTGTGTTAGTTTGTTTGGCTTTGAGTTTTATGTTTCCGTATTCCTATCTTTGTAGTTCATCGACAGTCTTGTACAAGCACTTTCATGACCTGTCAACTAACATGTCCTCGAAGTATTTCTGTTTTGATTACGTTTACTGTCTTCACTTGCCGGGACAAGTATGAAGCATTCCTCTCGACGAATGTGGGGTTTATCCGACGGATTCTTTTTTCTTTGTGTTAATATTCTTTGAGGAAATAAGTTTTCGAAGCATTTCTGTTTTGATTGCGTTTACTTTTTTTGCTTGCTGGGACTAAGTAACTGAGCATTCCACTCGACTAGCGTGGGGTTTTTTCGGCAAATTCTTTTTTTCTTAGTGTTATTCTTTGAGAAAATACGTACTTAATCCCTCTTAGCATTTTACTGTTTTTCTAAGCGTAGATTGATGAGTTACTTGATAACTGTGAGAAGACTAACCGAAATGAGCCTCGGGCACAATCTTTATATTCGTTCTCGCGAGTCGATTTAATTTCATAGTTTACGTTCATAAACTTCCCTGAAACCTTTTTTTTTTTTTTTTTGAATTTTTCTTCAATGACTTTGAAAAGATTTTTTCAACGCCCTGCGATACTTGGGCAATCTCCAGGCGTAGATGAGTGGATCCAACAGAAACTTGACCCATAGTGTGTTGTCCATTATGATTCTAGCTATAAAGAAATCTGTGGAGTTGCGGTACTGAGGCTCGACAAGAAGTATATACCACATGATAGCATTAGGAATAGAGCAGAAGAAAAGTAGAGCTATCAACAATAAATTAACCCTGATGAATTTTTTCTCTATGTCGATTTGTTTATTTGTTGGGGTGTTGCGTGGCGATCTTCGGTTACCATCCGCCTGTATACTTGCACTGGTGCTTTGAATGGTGCTCTCTGCTCTAAGGACGAAGCCAAGTTTCATTTTCTTGTGGAAGGATCGTTGAAGGAGAATATAGAAGACGACCATGACGATGAATGAGATCGTTGTGTGCAATATCAGATCCGTGTTCTCGATCACTGTTTTAGGGACGCCGATTTTTTGTAGGAGCTCGAACAGTATGGTGTAGATCCAAATGCCGATGATACATGTTATAGTTCGCCTGACGTTTACAATGTTTTTGTACTTCAATGGCCATGACACCGCGAGATACTGCACAACTGTGAACGATAAGACTATAAGGAACGATGAATTGATGGAAGCAGCTGACAAGAGTCCAATATGGTCAGTGAGAACAATCATACAATCTCCCGTGCTAGGATGTTGGGAATATGTCATGAAATAGCAAGTCATCACGACCGGCTCAACAACAAGTCCAGACACAAGATCTGTGACTGTCAACCCGATCAGGAAATACGTCGAAGGCGATTGGAATGTTTTGAAAGGATCCTTGAAGATGGCGAAAAGTAACAGACTGTTCAGGATGATGGTGGTAGGGGACATAATCGCTAAAAAGATTCCATTTGCCAGCATTGCTGTGCCAATATCGAATGGAGGAGGCATGTGAGGCTGGCCTGTTGGAACCATACCTGTGCCGTTTTCCGCAAGACTAGTATTATTAAGTGCCTCCATGTCGTAATCTGCTCAAAGATCTTGTTGACTAAACTCACGAGGGTTTCTTCAGATGTAATGTGCTCTCTTAACACAGTACTCAGTGATATATCAAAGGCGAATCTAATGATACGTCTTTTATACACGATACACACGTCATCGTTTAAAAGTATCCAATCAAATCCTTCTCAGACCGCACGAAACTCTCGCAGTGTCACAGGCTCTTCGTCCCACGTCTTTCACCTCGCGAGAAACATAGACAGAAGGCCGAATTTCCCTTCGAGGTTTCCTTTCCCTGGATTATGTTCCATCGTTTTCGCTAACCGGAAAACAATATTTGACCCCGCATAGCGCTCAAAGGTTTTACAGACTTGCCGTAATATCGTTTTCTAGTGATTTTTTTTTCTGTTGAAATAGAAATATTGTCACGCCTCAATTGACCGTCACGTAGTAGACTCGACTCATGTAGGCGTTCTGAAAAGTGATTCATTTTCTTTTACTCGCACCAATGCTTTTAAATTTAGCTCATTATAAGTGAAAATCCGTGAAATTACAAGCCAGCAATATCATCTAGTAATTCTCCGGTTATTTCATAGTTCTGGAATGATTTTGCCTTTCGTTACGTAGCGACCCGCATAATCCTTAAAGAACGTGCAAATGTGACCCCCATTCTAATTTGATTTTCCTCAATTGGTAACTTCTGTTTGCTCTTATGTTCTTGTATACAAATAAATCCATTACAAACATAAACCCCGTTGACATTTTGTGCTGAAGTGCTAGGATCACCCATCTAGTGCTTTCAAAAAAAAAAAAAAAAAAAATTACCGCCGAGAACATCGGCTTTCCCCCTGGCCAAAAAGGACAAACTGTCTACCTGATAAAATTGGAACAAAACCGCTAGCATCTCATACTTATACATCAATTGTGGTCTGTAAAACCAGATCTGGTCATCGATAATGTCAAATAAGGTAGATGTTGGTTAGTTTTCTCTAAATAATGACCAGGTGTTCTTATACGCGAAAATGTCATTAATGCTGATAATCGTTCTCCTTTTGAGTATGCATTATGGAAACAGTTGGCTTGAGGTCAATGTTCGGGATATTTTGCTTTAAGCTACTATTATTTCTATGACGGTATTTGTGGGGAATAATGCAGATATGAATGAATTCCATGAATTTAATCAATATGGAAAGATTTTTTTCAGAAAAATAAATAAAAGAAAAAAAGGAAAGATGGTTTTGGGGATAAGATTAACGAAATCAAGCTGCGATCATTACAGTAAACATCAATAGATTGAATGAAATCGTATAAACAAATGACTTTTAGCGAAAGAATGAAAATGGTGGAATCTACGAGAAGCAAAAAAAAAAAAAAACAAATTTTGATTGCAATGCGGTTCGTCCAGTGAAAAACCGATTAATTTTTTTTTCAAAGAAAAAGAAAAATTGTTTACCACTGAGTTAGAAAAATTCCTAAAACCTTTTTAGTAGGAGTGAGAAGTGGGTTAAGGTAATTGTTGTGTTATCGTGGGCTTTTTCTTTTTCTATTGTGTTTATCACTGAGATCGGAAACAAGCTCCTGACCGTCATAAACGCAGGACATACTACGCTATCTCTCTCTTGTTACCTAAATACTAGCCTAAGCCTAGCGTAAATCCTGTCAAACCTGACAATAAGTAATCGTGTTTTGTTAGTTGATTGAATTGTAAAGACTTGTAAATGACAGGTTGCAATCAGTTTGCGTAAGTCGAGTCGTTTCTAAGGAACTATAACAAAACCGTCATGTACAAGAAAATTATCCTGCTTCAAGAATAAAACGTTTCGGAATACTTCTTATGAATCGTTAACTTTGGAATCAAGAGTAGTGTAGTGCAGTGTGCCACTCGCTTCTCACTTCTAGTGTGTTGGGCCTCTGTCAAATGTGAGCAGAGTCTGTTGGGTCTGTTCTTTGATTCGAGGGGTTTCATCTGGTTTTCCTCCTTCGCAGATTCCAATTCGATATGTGTGTGTACATTAGCCATGCACTGATTTTGATCAGCGCAGAGGATGTTTCAGGTTGATGTGTGAGTTAGCCGTGGCCTGATTTTGATCAGACCAGAGGTTGTTTCAGGTCGATCTGTGAGTTAGCCGTGCCCTGACTTAGATCACCCCAGAGGTTGTTTTAGGGTTCGATCTGTGAGTTAGCCGTGCCCTGATTTTGATCAGCCCAGAGGTTGTTTCAGATTGATCTGTGAGTTAGCCGTCCCCTGATTTTGATCAGACCAGAGGTTGTTTCAGGTCGATCTGTGAGTTAGCCGTGCCCTGACTAAGATCAGATCAGAGGTTGTTTCAGGTCGATCTGTGAGTTAGCCGTGCCCTGACTTTAATCTGCCAACAGTTTGTGTCAGGTTGATCTGTGACTGAGTTAGCCATGCCCTGACTTTGATCAGACCAGAGGCTCTTTCAGGGCTCGATAAAATTTTAAGGTTTTGAATAAAAGTGAAAAAAAAAGGACTTAATCCTATTTTCCTAATCTTATTAACTTTTTTACTAACTATTAATATCGTTAAGTCATGAGTTTAGGAATCATTTTATTCTATTGTGTACAATGCCATGCGTTAACCAGTGCAGTTGCTTGTTGATTCTCTCCTGTGTTTGAGGCTTTTTCTCCGGATTCTCCGGTTTTCTCCCTCCGGAAAAAAACTACCTTCTAAATCCAATTAAATTCAATGAAAGAGGAATTGAAAATCACTTTTAAACCCCTATTTTCTACTGTTTCAATATTATTAAACCAAATAGGAAATTCACCATGAATTTCTATAGTTTTATCCGATTCCATAAAGTTACAATATTGTAGAATAAATATATATTTTCACTCCTCTTGTTCTGTCTAATCACGTACCATGAATATGTCAAAAATTTTGAAAAAAATGGAAAATGACAAAAAAAATATTTCTTTGCGATTCTTTCATCTCCATAGCAACGCTGTAAAATTTCCTTCGAACTTTTAATAATATTATTAAATTTTACTATTTCTATAATTTATAACAAACTCGATTTAATTTCTTTATTGATTACATCTGTGTATAAAAAAGAAACTTTTGAAATATTCTGTGTGCAAAATCGTGTTCCTATGAAATTTTTCAAGACAAATTGGAACTGATTAACCATTTTTTAAATTCTGGATCATTTGCTTAGAATATGAATTAGAAAATAAATTGGATATATGATTGAGTTACGTTGATATGTTGCAATAAAGTTTAAATTTTTGGGAATAAATTATGTTATTTATTTTCATTCTTGTGTCACAGCGCTGAACAGTTTTTATTAGCGGTAAAAATACATTAATGACAAAAAAAAAAAAAAAAGATGATTAATAATTAACAACATGGCTAGAAAACTATCATAACTAATTATCAACTTACATAACTTTACTTTGCAAAAACGAAAATCGAAAGGGAATATTTAAAATATTTATTCACTCGTTAGTAAAGAGAAAAGCACTTTGTGGTGAGCGCATTTTAAAGACTGTTTGAATCATGTAGAAAGTACTCGAAAGGTGTAAGAGGAGAGGAGAAGAGAGGAAAGGAAAGGAAAGGAAAGGAAAGGAAAGGAAAGGAAAGGAAAAGGAAAGGAAAAGGAAAAGGAAAAGAAAAGGAAAAGGAAAAGGAAAAGGAAAAGAAAAAGAAAAAGAACTGAGAAGAAACGAGAATAGGAGGGAGAGAAGAAAAGAGAAGAAGGAAAAAAGAAAAAAGAAAATACGTGAAGAATCGAGAAGAAAAAAAGGTATTTGAAAAACCTTGTGGGAAGCGAAGATACGTAAACGTAAATAAAAAATAAAATACTTTGAAGGAAGAGTTATCAGATATTTATGAAATTACTTTGTTACTTTCCCATGGTGATAATTGATGAACTAAGCCGGTCTATTATAGTACATATAGTAGTATATATACCTCGCTATCTATGTATGAATTGGAAAACCAGTGTTGACTATAGGAAAGCCGAAAGATATTGGATCTTCCCAATCTGTAATTACAAAACCATAGTGAATACCTGTGTTATTAATATTTGAGTAAAGATAGCATCTGAACAAACAAAAAAGTATTGCTAGTTATGAACTTTTTGGATTTTGTTTGAGTATTTTTCGTTTAATAATTTAAAGACAATTAAGTTAAGATAATATCTAAATAAAGAAAAAGCCAACAGTACATACTGATTTTGCTATGGAAAAGTAAACTTTCATCTAATTAAAACTATTTTTGACTTTCAAGTATTTTTCATGCCTGATTAAGTATATGTACAGTATTTTAACCCAGACCATCCCTAAGTTCTTACATAAACATGCAACCATCATACGGCTGGTGCGTCCTCGTCTCGTTGTGTTGGAGGTCGTAGGTTCGAGCTCTGGGTATACCAGCGCTCAAGTTCGCCATGGCTTGGATAACCATGTCCATGTGTCTTATTCGTGAAGTTGTTGTTGGCAGTAATGGTGATGATAATGGTGATGGGGATGGTGATGATGGAATAAAGATGGTGATGATAATGGTGTTGCAGTGATGGTGGTGGTGATGATGGTGATGATAATGGTGTTGCAGTGATGGTGGTGGTGATGATGGTGATGATAATGGTGTTGCAGTGATGTTGGTGATGATGGTGGTGAAGATGGTGATGATAATGGTGGTGCAGTGATGGTGGTGATGGTGGAGATGATGGTGGTGAAGATGGTGATGAGGATGGTGGTGCAGTGATGGTGGTGATAAGGATGATGGTGATGAGGATGGTGATGATGGTGGTGATGATGGTGATAATGGTGCTGCAGTGATGGTGATGATGGTGGTGGTGCAGTGATGGTGGTGATGATAATGGTGAGGGGAATGGGGATGGTGATGATGATGGTGGTGTAGTGATGGTGGTGATGATGGTGGTGAAGATGGTGATGATAATGGTGGTGATGATGATGGTGATGGTGGTGGTGGTGCAGTGATGATGGTGGTGATGATGGTGATGATGCCTTGATGATAGTGGTGATGATGGTGATGACAGCGATGATGATTGTGATGGTTTTGAACTATTAGCGTTAGTAATGATGATGATATGATTTTAATGGTGATAATAATGTGATGATGAACGTAATTTGATGATGATGATGTGAGAATGATGTTGATAATAATAAAGGTATCGTTCCCACAGTCTCCTTCATAAAATATTTATCGTTTTTCCTCAGTTTCTTGATTTAATGGACGTCGCTCAAAAATGGTAAGAAAATCTTTTGGGTTTGGTTGGGTCTTTTTTAACATTAGGCCGTTTGCATGGTGACGTCTTGTACAAAAACTACCAGAATCCCTTACGCTTCCTTTTTCAAATAATTGTCGCCAATTGGTCACTTGCATGTTGGCGTCATTTACTATCACTAACAGACTCCCTTGCACACTTTCTTTTGTTCAGTTAATTAGTACTAATTGTCTTACTATTCTCATGAGGAAATGCAAATTTAAATATGAAAGAAAATTCGCGAAGTATTTTGGTAGTGGGAGTCAAATAACGCCATCATAGAACGGGTTACTTGTGTTAATATTTTCATCAACCAGTGTATTGAACGAGAAAAAGTTTGCGAAGCATTCTGGTAGTAGTAGTAAAAAACAATTCAAATGGTCTGCATTCTCTTTTTTTGAAATCCTTACGAGAGTCTGGTGACCTACTCATTGCGCGACGAATAGGGGGAGGGGGGAGGGGGATTTTTTAACGGGAAACGGCCAGCTTCATCCCTGTATTTCTGATTTATTGCCATAAAAAGAAGAACACACCCTTTTCAAGGTTGCACACTAACGTAATAGCACACTTTCTGAGTGCCATTTACATAAAGGTCCTATGATTCTAGTTCTAAGGAGAAGTCTTTTATTTTCGTTTCTCAGTCACAAAATACACAAAGCATAGTTCCAGCGGTAGCGTGTCTTCTTCCTCTTTTAGAAGGGCCTGGGAAATCCTGATTTTAAGATGCGGTATACTAATACCCTGTTCTGAAGCCTGGTTCACACTAGCGTCGGAATCAGAAGCAACATTCGTAGACTCGGCAGTATATTATATACTTAATGTCTGGTCCCTCAGGAAATTAGTTAGTTTTGTTTTCCCTCGAGTCTCGATGTTTCCCTCGGCGAATTGTTTTGATATATAGCAATTGAAAAATACTGAGAATTCAGTTTACGAAATAAGATATTTATTTAGCAAGCTAAATGCATGAAAACTGATCATGATTTTACAAATACAACTCACATACGGTCTTGTATTTCTCTAAACAGGATTCAGAATAACTTCGCATATTTCAAAAGTGGTAAAATCAGTTAAAGATTTTTAATTTCTTGACCATTTTTTGTGGGGGCGGCAAAAAAAATACCAAAGTATTGAAATTGTGCTGCAAGAAATCACTACAAGTCATGGCATCACCGTATA